AAATATTTTTTGACAAATGGGTCTTTATATTTATTTTACATTTAAGCTCCTCATCATCAGCATGAGCATTATTTTTCAGTTTTGCTAGATTTTAAAATATGGTTACTGGCAACATGAAGTACCTTAGAGCAGACTGATCTCTGGGGTCAGAGAGGGACCGCTGCAGGTAGGGTTGTGGACAGGACACCTGAGGGCCCCTGCGAATGAGCTTTCCCGTCACGGGGTCATACGTCCGAACCTCCGGTGCTGCAGGTGGAGGTTTGGGGTGGAGTGGAGCTTGGTGGAAAATGGGATTCTGCATGGAGCCCTGGTTGTCCAGAAAAGCAGCGGGGCTGTTGCTCCTTTAAAACAAGAAGACTGAATATAGTAATTATGAATATGAGTAATTAACATATTCTGCCTGATGAGTTTTAATTTCCCTATAGGAGGCTCTTTCCCATACCGTGACGTCTTGGAGTAATCATCCTTCAGAGGGTACAGCTTTTCTTCAACCCTTTCCCAGCGCTCCAAACAACTCCACAGCCAGTCAGGGTTGACGACATGAAGGAGTTTGCAGCCTTGTGCCTGACGCACCTTCTCTGTTCCTGCTCATTAAAAACAAACAAACAAACAAAAAAAGTCAGGATTTCATATTAAAACAAATTATCATCAGGCTAACATCAATGAGACGCTGATATCTAATGCAGGCTGTTGCAGGAACATGTGAGACGTGAAGTCTAGTTAATTGGCCCAATGAAAGAGAGATGATTAAAAACAATGATTTATGACTGTTAAAAGCCAAGATTAAATAAACAGTTGCACTTGTGAGATCTAATAAATGCTATAATAATCTTCACAACTTCCTGTTCTGGCAAAATAACAAGAAATTTGAAGAAATGTTTTCAACATTTGACCATCCATTTCTCAAACTGAACTTTTCTCTTTTTCCGATCCAAGAGCTTATCTCAGCTATGTTGGCTCCGAGTCAATGAGTTTTACTTACTGCTCTTTTCTTCCCAAATGGTAAACTGAGCTTGAAGCAATTTTAAAAAATCTTAAAACTACTAATATTTTCCAGCCAGTGTAAAAACAGTGTGAACGTCAGAAAAAGGACTGCACTGTTTATCTGGGTCTCACAGGTCAAAGTATGAACTCTACGTTTCTGAAAACACAAACAAAGCTTGTAGCATTCACAAGATGCAGTTATTATTATTATACTTTTGTTTGGAAAATGGGCAGCTATTGTAATTCAAGATAACTTTGAACCTTTACACTGCAGGTCTTAATGCTCAATTCCAATTTTAAAAAAAATCTGTAAACGTTCACATTATATTTTAAATTCTTCCATCCGACTCCAGTGTGAACTTCCCATGGTCCTGATGTGACCCCCCATGTGCACAAGATAACTTGATATCACTATCAACTCACTGCTTATAGAAATAATTAAAACACAGATGCTACTTGTTAGCGTGTTAATTCAAACGTTGTTGTTCAATCAAAGTCAGTTAAATAATTATCTGACATGCTTGTTTAGGTCAGTGTTTATATCTTAACCTGTCTCTGGCTGGATGCTCCGGTGCAGCATTTTATTTTTGGAACAAAGCGATGTTAAAAAAAGTATCAATCAAGTAACTTTAGAATAGATATGATCCACCACCAAAGTTGGACGTGTTTCTGTGGATTCTCAGTCATCCAGGACATGGAAAATTAAAATAACAAGATTTAAACTGCACAACTCAAGGTTAGTGTCTTTATTATATGGATCGATCATCTCACCCACACCTCACTAATGTAAAAGTCAGATCAAATGCAACACGAGCATTCACACTGCTTTCGCTATAAAACCAGATATTCAGTACCACATACTGAAAAGGCCTGAGTTGTATTTGAAAAAAAAATAATAATAATTTGTTGCATTCAGACTGTCAGCAAAAAATCTGATATGGATCGTATTTGCCTGCAGTGAACGTAGCCTAGCTTTCATTTAGAACCACCTTATTGGTTACAAATCACTTTGCAGCATAACAAACCTGCATTTAAAAGCTAGTTTGGCCCATTAAAAGGGTATTCAGTGAATAAGTTTAAAATAATTAATACTTTACCAGTATATACATCTCTAAGAACAGGTAGTTTGGAGAAATAGAGTTAATGTTTGACAGGACTGATGAGCTGGTCCACAAAGTGAGTAGCTGCTGTCTTAAAATAGCTTTAATTTAAATTACATTGTGTGTTTCATGCATATGCTACTTCATACACCTTAAAACTGCAAATATTATTCCTATTACAAGGTTATTTACATAAATTTAATGGTTCTTTACAAGTAGAAATACAATCAGTGGAAACAAACCTGTAGCACCACTGGGACATGCAGGGTTCCATGTTCATATAAAATAACTCCTTATAATAAAAAAGTAAACAATCTGACAATGTGTTGTATAGTTGGTCATGCATGCATACGTACCTGCTCTTGCTGCGATGAGATGGGTTGTCCGATTCGGGTCTTGCAGGTTTAGAATCAGATTCTTGCCAATCTTGGCCCCCAGTGCTTTGGCGTGGTAGTATTCTCGAGTCCTCTCCTTGGGGTAGTTAGTTGGGTAAAGACCGCTGAACATTAAAGTTGTTCCCTCCAGCGTCTTGCTCTTCAACTCAGGAACAATCCTTCGAATGTCCGGCATCTCAGAGGTCTCCTTCCTCAGGTAGGTCTCATAACGAGCAAAGTACTCAGTGTGGATCCTTTCCAGCACTTCTTCCAGGTATATCAGGTGATCGTCCCGGTCAGTGTCGGCTTCGTCTTCTTCCTCCTCGTCCTCCATGCTCTGATCAAGCAGCTCTCCACCCACGGTGACTCCAGATTGTTCACTATTCTGAGATTCGGTTTCTGGTTCTCTCCTGTCCAAACATCCATTTCCAAGCTCCGGGTCAGAGAGGACGACACCTGAAGGTTGTGAAACGTCACAACTATTTTCTACTTCACAAGAAACTTTGCTGTCCTTTTCCTTTGTCCCGTCCTCATCGGTGGGTTCTTGTCCTTCTTTTTCCGGTCCAGATTCCTTTGTCTGGAAAGACCTGCCTTCACTACCACTGTCTGATGAGGGAGGTTTTTCTGTGATGGAGTCATTGTCACTGTCACTAGAAAGGTCAAAATCTAAGTTATTGCCCTCACGGCTCAGCACAGAAGAGTTTACACCTTCCTGTGCTACTTCTGTCCTGTTATCATTATCTTCTTTAACTTTTGTTTCGTCACACACCTGAGTTTCCTTTGATTCCACCCCAGACTCTGATCCTTTCTGACCAGTTTCTGACCCATGACTTTGTCCTGGGTCACTTTGTGTCCTTTCATTCGATGTTCCTACCTGAGACTGAGGTATTACGGGATCTTCTTTTTCTGAAACACTGAGGTCCTTTGCTTTTTTCCTGAGACCATTACTGTGCTCATCAGCACCTGCTTGTTCTGTGCTCTCTGGTGGTCGACTTAAAGGGCCTCCTGCAGGAACAAGACACAGAAATCCCATCGGATTTGACATAGACAACAAAGTCAAGAGACAGGTCTGCTATGGATGAACAAACCCCAGGGGTAAAATCTGTTTTTAGATGCATCACATCATGGACATGGAAGATTATGTATTGATTTTCAATGGCAAAAATCTAATCTGTAAAGCTAACCTGTGTGGCCACTTTAAGAGTCAGCAAGAGTGGTTTCTGCAAGGTGCCATTTTCCAAGTACTTATAGTTTCAGAAAGTAGAAATATGTTGAAGTAAAGTTGTGTGTTTTCGTATTTTTTTCCATTTTTCTTCAATGAACTCAGAAGTATTATGTCTCTACATCATAGCTGTAGTTTCTTAACATGACTGTCTTTAGTAATGATTTTGAAAGATAAAATTTGTAATAAACACAATGCTAATTGTGTCAGCTTTTTATGGCATTTTCAATGATATCGTATCTATGCTAATCAGTAGAATGA